AGACCTTCATCTAAGGTAAAAAAAAAAAAAGAATTATCTATGTGAGATCAAATTGACAACAGCAACTCAAAAGGTTTGATGGGAAGCCTAGAGGACAGTGAGTTGAAGATAATGGTGATGGAATAATTTGGAAAAGGATAGTGAGTATAGCAGCACAACTGGAAGAATGTAATCAATGTCAATGAATTGTACATGTAGAAACTTTCAAAATGGTGTAACTTTGGCTATGTATATTTCCACCAAAAAAAAAAAAAGGTCCTCCAAGGTGGAGAAGGGAGAGTATTGACATGTCGTGGGGTTGTTAACCAATGTCATAAAACAATATGTGTACCGACTGTTGAATGAGAAACTATTTGTTCTCACCTTCATCGAAAGTACAATAAAAAAATTGTTTTCTTTTTTAAATTTAAAATGAACCCCCTGAAATTAGAAACAGAAGGCGAGAATTCTAGCACTGAACCACCACAGCCCCCCACAGCATGGACATACCAGTGTTTATCTAACCTCTCCGCTACAGTTAAACGTCGTTTCTCACGGCGATAAACACGCATGCAATGAACAACCGTGATGCTGCCTCCTTGTGTACATGTACTTCTCTTGAACAGATTCCAAGTAGAACGGCTGAGTCATAACGCCACCTTATCTTTAATAGGTCCGCCAAATTGCTCTCCAAAACAACCGTGCCAATTCACACTACCAATGGCAGTATTTAAGAGAACCAACTTTTCACCCCCTTGTCAACGCTTGACATTATCAAACTTTTTTGATTTTTTATAATCCAATGAGTGGAAAATGAGTTCTCATAGTTGTTTTCATTTGCATTTCCCTAATTACTAATGATGTGGAGCATCTTTCATATGTTTATTAGCCATCTGTATTCCCTCTTCTAGGAAATAGCTGCCTGTGGGTATCCTTCGCCTGTTATTCCCCAGGGCCATTGTCGTTTTGTCGTTGTTGGTTCTACGTACTGATATTTATCCTTTGTCTTCTACGCATGTAGCAAATATTTTCTCCAGGTCTGTTGCTTGCCTTTTAGCTTTGTTTTATGATCCCAATTTCTTTCCTGCTATTCTGGAGCCTGAAAATGGAGTTTGGAAGCAGACTTAACCACAGGCCTCTCAGAAGACCCTGATCGCTCCCTCTCCTCTCTTCCAACTTGCTTGCTTCCTGCTCCCCTTTGAAGCACTTAGCTCTGTGCTACAGTTACTGGTGCCAATCTCACCCACTAAGTGCGTGCCCAGGAAGGTAGCAGCTTCTTTCCACTCGTTTCGATATCTCCCGCAGGACCCAGCGCAGAGCCTTATATATAGTAGGTACTGAAACCAAACTGAACTAAGGCTGCCATTAAAAGCAGCACAACTTGATCCCAAATACGATGTCACTCGACTCCACTAAGCAAGTCTCATCATCATTCCTTCCCAGAAACAGAAAACACAATAAGAAGGCATGCGGCTCAGCTCAATGAAATATTAAGCAGCTCTCTCCAATGATGTGGGCAATGGTTTGTGTGGTTTTTAGAAAGTCCAGGAGACGGGGAGAAAAGAAGGCATGTCACCAGACCGCAATCATTAGACCTATGCTGGTCTCTTCAGGAAGGGTTTTAGTATTAAAAGGACATTCATCCTCGTTAATGCAAAATTAAGGAGTTTAAAAAGCTTTTACAACCTAGACTCCCTCTGAGAGGTCAACTGTAACACCCTAACCAGCCTTCTGCTCTTGCTATCGCTTGGAGACAAACAGTTCCTGCGGTCCCAGCTGGCCTGACAATAGGCAGATGAGAGAGAGGGCAAGAGGGAGGGAGGGAGGGCCTGTGCTGGCTTCTACCATTACCCTGGCCCCATCCTGGGGATCGATCAAAGGATGCATCATTACCAGATGCCAGTCTCACTGCTAAGGGCAAGTCACCACCCAAATTAGCCCAGGGGACTCTGCATCGCTGCTGACTCTCCAGGCAGAAAGGGGTGACCCCACCATCAAATCCCCTTAACTGCATCCCCTCAAGGTAGCCATCCATCTTCTGCCTAAAACACCTGCAGTAAAATGTTGATACTGCTGAAGCTGGGTGATGGGTGTGCATCACTTTATAATACTATTCTCTGTGCTTTAGTGTCTATATACATTTTTTTATAATAATTAAAAAGAAATTTAACACCCTCCGTAACAGGGAGCTCACTACTCCTGTGGGAACCGAATCCCTCGTTAGGCAGTTTTGCTGGGAACTTCCTCCTTTCCTTGAGCTGTTGTGCTTTCCAGTCCCTCTATCGACCCCCCACCCCCCGCCCCAGGCTCAGTGTCTAAAGTCAGACAGACCTGGCCTCAAAAGCTGGAGTCACCACTAGCCGCCATATGACCCTGAGCGTATTACTCTGAACCTCGACTTCCCATCTGCACAATGGGGACAGTAACATAACCTACACCACAAGGTTGCTGGCAAAGTTCGATGAGATCACGCAGGTAACGTCCTCAACCCAGCACCTGGCGTGTGAAGTACTCAGTGATATTTTACTGGCTTAGTTCTCCCCTGAGGGCCAAACAGAGCAGGTCACCACCTCTGTGCTGTGACAGGCCTTCTGACATAAAAAGGCAGCCTAAACACTGCAATGCTTGGCAACCGAGCTCATAAAAAGGACACGCCCTGGAATTTAAAGAAAAAATCACAAACATCTGTGATTACGCTAAACAACAAAAACTACACCCAGATTCAGAAGAGTTCCCTCTGTGTCTTGGCATCTCCTACAGTTACAGCTAAACTCGTGGTTGTCGGCACTAATGCTGTGGGACGATGACACAAATAAAGAGGAAGCTGTGGAAAGCCACTGCAATGGATCCTACAGGAGACTCATAGAAAACTCACTCCTTCCCTCTCCCTGTTCATGGACAATGTGCTGATGATCAGTGAGTGGGCAGTTTGCGTATTTAGGACACATCTGCACGAAGCAGGATGCAGACAGAATACAAGAGGCAGTAAGTGCTGTTCCGTGCCTAGCGGTGAGATACCATTCCCGTGGGGGACAACCTGGCCCTTCACTGAGAGTCTCTGCAGTGCTTTCCTAGTTCAGGAAGTGATTGTTAGCAGCATGACATCATCTTCAGAGCCCAACATACCTTGGCCTGTTTTCCAAAACACAACTCCATGCATCTGGCCTGACACTCCAATGGCCCTGACTTCCCGGAGCTGCTGTCGGGGCAGGGCAGCAAGGCACTCATGTAGGGCTTGGATGGTTCTACTCACATCCTGCTCCTGTCCCTGGAAACAGAGCAGACACACTGAGCGGGGGGCAAACAAACAGGGAGAGGGGGAGGGCAGAGGCCTCAAGGGATGTCCTGGGTGATGGCTGCCCAGCTAATTCCACAGGGACACTTCCAGGGTCTGCTGGCCAGCCTCAGAGATGGATGCAGGCTGAGGTTTGTCCACAGCCTCCAGCAGGGCCTGGAATAGGAGTGTGGTAGCCAGGTCCTTTCTCTCCCTTCACAGATGAGGTACCACTACAGATTAGGTTTGGCAAATAACCCAGGCTCTGCCCTCCGTTGTGCTTTTCTCTGAGCTGAGTAAAGGAGTCCTGGGTGGCACAAATGGTTAAGTGCTTCACTACTAACCAAAAGGTTGGCAGTTCAAATCTACCCAGAAGCACCTTGGAAGAAAGGCCTGGCAACCTACTTCCAAAAGATCACAGCCATTGAAAACCCTGTGGAGCACAGTTCCACTCTGGGGTTGCCAGGAGTCGGAATCAACTTAACGGCAACTAGTTTGGGTTTTTTGGGGGGTTTTGTGGGTACTGAGTAAAGCCTGCGGGAAAGTTCAGGAAGGACGCTATAAAGGGAAAAAAGGTAAGGATCTTAGACAAGGCACCTAGAGCAATGGGCCTACGGGGAGACTGGAAGACAGCAAGGAGGAACCTGGTAGGAGAGATGTCAAAAAACGCCTCGTGGACTAATAGGATGAGCCCTAGTGCTTTCATTTACTTGGGCTTTAGTTCATGCATTTGCCAAACGCCTTCTAAGTGCCTTAAGGACCAGGTCCTAGACCTTGAAACAAAAACGACCTAGGAGAGACGGTCAAGGAGGAAGACCAGGGAACATCTGGGGCACAGTGCCAGTAGAGATGGGCTGTATGAAGGGGTGGTGAGAGATGAGGTGGGAAAAGAGGATTTGTTGGGTTCCCATCAGTGGGCACTGAGCCTCAGAGAAGGCTGTCTTCCTGAAGGCAGTGTAGAGCTCCTCGGGCTTTCTGAATGGGAGAGTATTATCATCAGCGCTATGTTATCTGAAGATTAATTGGGCAATGATATAACCTACACGGAGTCCCTGGGTAGTGCAAACAGTTAACGAGCTCAGCTGCTAACTGAAAGGTTGGCAGTTCAAGTCCACTTAGAGGTGCCCTGGGAGAAAGTCTTGGTGATCTATTTCCAAAAACTCAGCCATCAAAAACTATGATAGGACATCTCAGTTAAGCAGTCTAATAACTTGTTTAGTGCTTTTGTTCTACCTTCTACTTCCTTGTGTAGTGTGTGGGGTCTTAAAAGCTTGCAAGTGGCCATTCAAGGTACAAAACTTGGTTTCTATTCACCTGGAGCAACAGAGGAATAAGGAGAGTTAGGAACAGGAAGAAGAAATGGGATGTGTGGCTAATTGCCTCCATGAACAACTGCTTCCTTTGCCATGAGACCAGAAGAACTAGATGGCGCCCAGCTGAACATTTTGATTCTATAGAAGAATCTTTGATCAAAAAGGGAAAAATTCAGAACAGAACTTCAAATTCTCATGGCATCCAGACTTTCTGGAGCCATGGAGGCAGGATGAACCCTCGAAACTATTGCCCTGAGATAATCCTTAAACCTTAAACCAAAAATAGCCCCCGAAGTTTTCTTAAACCCTAGCAATAGTTTAGCTTAACTAGTAAAGAATGTCTGCCTTGACACTGACCGGCTACCACCAGTGACCACCCTGACAGGGAACACAACAGAGAGTCCCTGACGGAGCAAGAGAAAAGTGTGGTGCAGAACTCAAATTCATATAAAAAGACCAGACTTAATGGTCTGACTGAGGTTAGAGAAACCCCCGAAGACATGGCCCCTGGACGCTCTGTTAACCCAGAACTAAAACCATTCCCGAAGCCAACTCTTCAGACAAAGACTGGACTGGACTATAAAACATAAAGTAATACTCGTGAAGAGTGTGCTTCTTAGCTCAAGTAGACACATGAGATTAAACAGGCAGCTCCTGTCCGGAGGTGGGATGAGAAGGCAAAAAGGGATAGGAAGTGGTTGAATGAACACAGGAAATCCAGGGTTGAAAGGAGGAGTGTGCTGTCACAGTATAGGGGGAGCAACCAGGTCACATAACAATCTGTGTATAAACTTTGGTATGAGAAACTAACTTGAATTGTAAACTTTCACTTAAAGCACAATAAAATATATACATACATATATAAAGAATGTCTGCCTTGAGCATTATGCTCTTTTAAGATCTATCTATACGGGATCAAATTGACAACAGTAACTCAAAAGATTAGATACGGACCTTAGGGGGCAGTGAGTTTATGTTAATGGGGGAGATACAACTCAGAAAAGGAGAATGAGAACGGTTACATACCTCTCAGAATGTAATCAATGTCACTAAAATGTACGTGTAGAAATTGCTGAATTGGTGTGTGTTCTGCTGTGTATATTCTCAACAACAACAACAAAAATAAATTAAATTATAAAAAAAGAAAAGAAAACCCTACGGAGCACAGTTGTACTCTGACGCACATGGGGTCTCCGTGAGTCGCAATCAACTCAATGGCAACTGGTTTTTTCTAAGCTACACAGAGAGAGACTGATAATGCAGAGAACGGCTCCAGGAGTGCTGAGGAGATTCAAGAAAGGGAGGACCCTCTTTTTCTGCGGGTCCCCAAGGACTCCAAGGAGGTGATTCGTCTTTTCATCTGACTTCCTCTCTCCTTGAACACTTCTCCAAGCAGAATAACCTTGAAAGACAAAGTCATGAGAGGTAACCAGAATTTAATCAAATATCATATTGATATCTGTCAGAGTCAAATGGTCCTAAGAGACAAGAATATTAAAAGAATGCATGATTCAAACAGCACAAAGATCTTCAGACTCAGATGGGAAAATGCACTTAGATATCTTAGAGCTAAAGAAATGCCAAATCCAACCAAGCAGTATATCCAACTGGCTGCAAGTTATGGATTCTAATATAAGTTCGAAATAAGGCAACAGTGTGACTCGAACTTAAGAAATTTGGGTTCTGTCACCACCTCTTTCTTTTAATTATGAAGTCCTTATTATAGACTATAAATAGGATCCCATCCCATCCCAGCAGATGCCTCTAATCAGTAAGAAACCTCAGTGAGCTAAGAAGGCTGCCATGAAATATTCACTTGGGAAAGCAACCCAGATGACAGCATCGTTTCCTTGGTGAGTAAGTAAATTTCAAAGCGACACAATTGAGAATTAAATATACGCACATTTAAACGAATCAAATCTACGTTATTAATAATTATGTTTAAGGAATCTTTGGGTATTTGGTATTTCAAGTAAATTTATATGTTTAAGAGAACTTGGCCTAGGCTACCTTTGTAACTCCAATTTAAAATGTGAAATTGAGTAGCTGATTCTAGATTTGTGATTACAAGTTCAAATCACACTAACTTTATAAACAGATTTGAAATATGTAAAAGCATCTAAGTTTGCATATTTAATTTACTAGGTTTATGAGAATTACTTAAGTATTCTGGAAAGATTTAAGTCAAACAACTGCAGTATATAAAAAAGCAAATATACTAAATGTATAATTGCAGTTTAAAATGCCTAAGGTATTTAAGCAACTATGTTTATAGGGATTAAGTATTATTCAAAGGCCCTCAAAAATGATGGCTAAAATGTCAGACTTACAAATGGTATCAGCTTTATATAAACTAAGTCGTAAAAGCTTAACTAGGAACTAGGGTTCTGAATTTAATAAATCGAATACTTATTTGATTTCAACCAAAGTAAGCTGTTTCTGGCACACAAAAAATCACTTCAAGTCACAAAATAAGCTTACAGTTAACAACTAGGAGGAGCAATGGAAAGTTCAGAAGAGAAGAGGAAGAGAAATGTGGCTCAGATCTCAATGAATGTCTGTTCTTTGAGGAATTAAAAAAACTTACAGTCCTGGAAGGGCATCTGAAGACTGAGTCCTCAGGCCCTCCCACTTCCCTGCAAAGAGTATACAGTCCTCCCCACCTTGGAGCTAGCCCCTCACTTGCCCCAGTCAGTCTGCTGATCTTGGTCAGAGGCAGCTCTTGGCTCCTAATAAACACGAACAAAGGAGCAATAAGAAGAAGGGTGAGGAAGGGCAGGACAAGGGAAAAGGAGTGGCGAGGGAGCTCAAAGCGTTGCCCTGAGGAGGTAGCCCCAAATGCTAACAAGGATGTCCTTATGTATAGGAGAGGTTACAGCAAAACTAAGGCAGTGAAAGACTGGGAAAGAGGAGGCACAGGGCTGTGCATGATCCCCTGAGGGGAAGAAAGAAGGCAGCAGCAAAGAAAGGAGGAGGCAAAGACCTGCACTATTCAATAAGGCAGTTAGTAGCCACGTGAGGCTAGTCTGCATTGAGATGCGTTGTTTAAAAGTAAAATACATTGGATTTTAGATTTACCATGAAGAAAAAGAATGCACGATATCTCATTAATGATTTTTATATTGACTATTACATGTTGAAATGATAGTATGGTGGGTATATTGGGTTCATAATGTAAAATCAGTGTCACCCGTTTCTTTGTACGCTTTTTTACTATGGCTACTCGAAAATGGAAAATTAATACGTGGCTGACATTTTTGGCTCGCGCTTCTATTGAATAGCGTTGGTTTAAAGAGTTGCGACATGGTGGTCAGATGGTGGGTCATCCCAGGACAGAGGAGCTGCTGTTTAGAATGGCCCAGGGCAGGTGTTGTGTGGGTGGAGCAGCGTAGGAGAGGAATGGCTGGAATGGGAGACCAGAAGAGGAGGGTGTGATCAGAGAGTAGCTCTTGGACATTCCTTGGATCACAGTATCAGTCAGTCTACATCCAGAGCAAATACTAGAGCTTTGGATTTGAAAAAGGTACTTAGGAACTCATTCACTACCCCCTCCCACGCCCCTTTGTTGCTGCCGTTGAGTCGGTTCCAACCCATGGTGACTCCATGTGTGCAGAGGAGAACTATGCTCCATAGGGTTTTCAAGGCTGTGACCTTTCAGAAGCACATTGCCAGGCCTGTCGTCCGAGGCTCCTCTGAGTGGATGTGAAGTGCCAAGTTTTCAGCTAGTAGTCCAGTGCTTAACTGTTTGTGCCACCCGTTTTTACAGATGAGGAATCTGAGGCCCAGAGAGGAAGAATAAATAAAACAGTACACAATACTTCTGATGAATGACAAGTATGGACATAAGAACAGACCCATCAGATCTGTTTAGCAATGTGGAGACATTTTTGGTTGTCACGTTGAGAAGGGTGGGTGTGCTACTGGCATCTAGCGAATGGAGGCCAGGAATGCTGCTAAACGTCCTATAACACACAGGACAGTCCCCCACAACAAAGAATTATCCAGCCCAAATGGCTGCCCTGGTGGCACAGTGGTTAAGAACTGGGTACTAACCAAAAAGGTCGGCAGTTCGAATCCCCCAGCCGCTCCTTGGAAACCCTGTGGAGCAGTTCTACTCTGTCCTATAGGGTCGCTCTGAGTCGGAACCGACTTGACAGCAATGGGTTAAATGTCAATAGTGCTGAGGTTGACAAACCTGCGATAGACTAAATTACAGCAATGCTGCTCGTCCTAGAGCACAATTCACATATGGAGGATGCAAAGGGGGGTTATTACTCATCTCCCCTATGCTCATCATAAGGCAGGTGTGACAGGGTACACCTGTAAACACAGAATGGCCTGCTGAACGCTGGAGAAAACGGGAAAAAGCAGTTTTCAGGAAGGGATCCTAATCTAAGAGGAAAGGACACCCCTGAGCTCCATCTCCTGCGATCCCAGCTCTGCTGCTCAGCCAAACAGGGTTAGAGCAGACTCTGTCTCCATTTCGTATTCCATGAAGTAAAACAATCATTCTAAAACCCTGATGCCCTACCCAAACTAATTTTGAAAACCGCTCTGAAAAATGAAAGTGCTCCTGAAGTCTTTGTCCTCTGAAATGCTTCTGAGCAACACGGACTCCGAACCTTAAAGAACTGAGTCCAGATGTGTTGCAAGAGTTTATGAAAGATAAAACTCTTGGGAGCGGGGCTTGGTTAGAAAATCGCAAACTGTGGCCTGTAGAGGTACCTATTTCAATTTGGAGAAGAACAAGCTTAGGCCCATAAAGAAGACGTACATGAGGTTAGACAGGAAGTTCCTTGATACTCATTTTTATTGTCAAGTAACTGAACAGAGCTACTTTTGCAAGGAATTATTGGAATCCAGCTCTGAGGATGGACACCTTTTCTGAACCTACATCTCCCAACAGAGCCCTCTGTCATAAAATTATCTCGTAGTGTTCACTAGAGAACAGTTGTAGTATGTTAATTACTAATCTGATCTTTTTAAACATATCAATAGGCTTCTCTCTCAATGTCTTTCTATCTGTTCTGACATCTTTCCTTCAAGGTGTCTCAGCCTTGCGGCAATGGGTCTTTTGCTGACCAAGAGTTTCTCAGTCCAAATTCCACTCCTGTGGATTGAGAGAGGAGCTGGTTAGGCCTGATTCTGCAGCTGCCCAGGAGAAAACCGCTGCTGTCCTGGGGAACAAATCCTTAACTTGAAGGTACAGGGTTGAGGTGAGGAGCAGAGAGGGCAAGAGTGAGAAACAGGCCTGTGGGCATAGACACACAGGACAGCAATTCCCCGTAGGTCAGGGTACAAGAAGTCAAGAGAGTGCAGGCCTAAAGCGTCATAGGCAAGGACCCCAGGGGCGGCCAGCGGGTGGGGAGATCGGTGCAAGAAGGCAGGAAAGCTCTTGCGACAGATCTAATGGATCAGGGAGAGCTGCAGCAGACACAAAGGTCCCTGGAAGCGACGGGTGCAGGCAGTGGTCAGATAGACTGGTGTAGACAGGGAGAATTCTTTGACAGAGGAGGTTGTCAGGGAGGCTAGGGCAGTCAGGGAGGCCTCCTTTGAGGAGGAGAAGGGGTGTCAAGAGGCTCCTGGAGGCGGCGCAGCTCCAGGTCGCTGCCTCACCTGGGGCCCGGCCGCTGCGCTCTGGGTCACCGCCTCCGCCCGCGCAGCTCGGGCACAGCTAGCCAGTACCACGAACCTGGAGGGTTCGCCTGGCGCGGCCTCCAGCAGGGCCGCCTTCACAGACGTGGTGCCCAGGTCGATGCCGAGAGTGATCGACCGTGCGTTCATAGCCATGGTGGCGGGCGCTCCAAGTATCTGCCGACGTAGGCACCCACCAGCACACTTACCCCAGGGCGGTGCGGAGGCGGGGCCTCTCCTGACAATCCTTAGCCACGCTCAACATGGCGGCTTCTCATCTTGCAATTGGTCTAGGAAGCCGGTCCCAGACCCCGACTATAGGCGGAGAGGCGGCGGTAGGCTGGACCTAAACGGCCCCCCCACCATGTAGGGCTGAGGTTCCGTGACAGTGGAGGGCTGTCAGTGCCTCGCTCACCATAGTATCTCAGAGGTTGCTGAAAGGCGCTGACCCTCCGAGAGCGTCTGTGTCCCTAAACGTGGCTTAATCCTCCCTCACACCCGAGCCACCATCCCTGGCAAGGCGCCTGCGCCGTTCCTCTTCGCTCCAACTCTGCCCAGCTTTGTCTTGCTAAGACTCGTGAAAACTACAGCTCCCAGAGTGCATTACGCCGAGATACAGACTCCGCAGATCAGGTGACTCGGGTCAGGTGACCTCCGGCCCGCTCGCGAAACAAAGTCAAGTTGGCCTGGGGGACTGTCCTCATTCCAAGGCGGCACCTGGCCTGGGATTCCTGCATTTGGTGTGGTCAGTCCCCCGAGCCTAGGAGGCTCTCAGGTGAGAGATGGCGCGGCCCGGACAGCCTCCCGCCCATTTCCCAGGCGGACCCCCTGAGGCCAAGAGACTTGCACAGCAAGTCAGAGGGACAGCCTACCGCGGTTCCGGCCCCCCTCGGCCACTCCTGGGCTCCATCCTTTGCCAGGGGCGGGAGGAGGTGGCTCCAGTCCCTGCCTCGTGACACTGGACAGCCCCCAAGTGGAAAGGCCCGAGCAGTAGTGAGCGGAGGCAGGGGACACTGAAATGCCAGGGTGGTGTGAGTGGCTCTATTACTGTGCAGTTCTGAACCCTTTCCCTGCCTCCTGCTCGGTTGCCGCCCGAATTCTGAATACGGAGTTTGCAGATTGCTTCGGGGAGGGGAGACACTGAGAGCTCCAGCTGGGGTACTGAGCGCTGCGCTGCGCTGGGCTCCAGGGGACTGGGCAGGACGAGACCCCGTCTCGCCGTCCTGGACTTTCAGGCTGGAGACGGGGAGGACAACCTGGGCCCTGCCTTTTTCAGTAATACTGAGGATAATAACAATCTACGCTTAGTGCTTGTCAGGTGCCCAGGCAATAGTGGTAATCTCTTTACATCAGTATTTTGCAACCTTTTCTCACCCTCCAGGAGTCTTTTTAGACATTTTTTTCCCCAGTCGTCTTTCTCACTATGAAATTCATATACTGTTTGTTTATGTACTGTGGCCCGAGGGCTGCAACCTATAATAGCTAAGATTTTTTTCACTCCCCAAGAACCAGTTTTCTCTCCCACTAAGAAAGCACACTTTACATGCCTTATCTATGAGGTAACTATCACTGTCCCTGCTTTCACATTAGGAAATTGAAGCTTGAGGCGGTTAAGTAGCACCCCAAGGTCGCACAACTAATAAGTGGGGGAACTCAAATTCAAACCTGTGCTGTCTCTCTTCAGGGCACACATTCCTTGCCACTGTCTGTATTCCCTCTCCAAGAGGAGGAGACCCAGGCTATACAACAAACAACAGGGCAGATTCAGATACCTTGCAAGAGAGAAGCTGCTGCAGGACACCCTTGGCCCAGGTTGCTCCAAAGAAGGAATAAGTGGTAGGTAAGAGGGGTGGACTTTCTGGAGCAGGTAACATCTGAGTGAGACGTGGAAGAAAGGACTTCCATGGGAAGAAGGACACATTTCTGTCTTGTAGCATTCACAAGACGCTGATTGTAGTATATAATTCTGAACTTTTTAAACATATTAGTTGACTTATCACTCAATGTCTATCTGTTCTGGTATCTTTCCTCCAAGGTGTCTCAGCCTCTGGGGCTGGGGGACTTAGGCTGAGCAAGAGTTTCTCAGTCCAAATTCCACTCCTGCAGATTGAGAGAGGAGCTGGTTTGACCTGACTCTCCGTCTGTCCAGAGGAAGACAGCTGCTGTCCTGGGGAACAAACTGAATCCTTAACTTGAGGGCACAGAGCTGAGGTGAGGAGCAGAGAGCGACAAGAGTGATGAGAAGGCCTGTAGACATTCTGTGTACACAGGACAGCAATTCTCTGTGGGTCAGGATACAGGAAGTCAGAGAGCGCAGGGCTAAAGCTTCACAGGCAAGGCCCCCAGAGAAGGCCAAAGAGTCGCGAGATCAGTGAGAAAGCTCCTGGGATGAGATCTAATGGGCCAGTGAGAGCTATAGCAGGCAGAAAGGCCTCTGGAGGGACAGGTGGAGGTCAGACTGGCTGGAGCGGTCAGGGAGATTTCTGTGAGGGAGGAGGTGTCGGGGAGGCCTCCTTTGGGTGGGGGAGGGGTGTCAGGGCCTTCTGGAGGCCTTTTGGGGGAACCAGAGTGGGAGCAGGGGTGTTTCCACACAGACCTCTCCCAGCTCTCCTGACAGTTTTCAGGAACCCCTAGAGGCAGTCGGGTGGGAGAGCCTGTGGAGACTGAGTTACAGAAATCCATGCTGACCTCCCCATTTGACCCGCAGCTCACCTGCTGTGTGTGGGGGTTATGCGTAAGCAGCAGCCTGGCTCCCTCACTAAACCAGGGAACTGTTCCAGGGCTGATGTGGAGTTTGTCTGTCCCTCTGTCTCCATCGGGAGTGATCCCTCTCAGTCCTGGGGAGGTGACGCTTGTCGAATGAATTAGTCAGTTGGTGACATTATCCCTTGCATTCTCACCCCAAGACAGGAAATTGTTAGGTTTATGAGTTTACAGAGTCAAATGTTTAACCTCAGTTTTAATAACTTTGAAAAAAAAGAACCCCCGGCCAATAAAACTGCAGTCTCTGTATCTGTTAACTAGGTAGCAAGAAGCAGTTGAAGAGGGAAAAATTCAGGTCTTTGTTCACTTCCTCATGGTGGGACTTTACACAACCCGCTTAGCTGCTCTGAGCCCATTGCCCCACATACCAAAGAAAGATAAGCCCTCCTGAAGGTCCCCTGCTCAGAGGTTGTGATGCAAAGCCTATGAGGTGATAGGTGTGAAGTGAAAGTCCTTTATGAGCTGTCCCATGCCATAGGTGCAGCTGGCATGTTGTCCACCTGCAGCTGAGCTGATTCAGCCTTCACCTGAACTCTCGCCATTTGGTTTTCTTCCTAGTTCTCTGGAATCAAGGAACATGATGAAGAGTTGGCTGCTTATTTTTATCCTTTTCCCCCTGAAGCTTGTAGAAAAATGTGGTAAGTTTAGAAATGGGTCATCAACTTTGTAAAGAGGGAAATGGTGACTCTAGAGCGAGTAGCCTGACCAGTTTGTAGCCAGGTGTTTAGAACTGTCCAGATCACATGGGCCTGCTTGCCCCTGGGTGGAGTCCAGGAGTTTTACAACCAGCAAGATGGTTCCACAAATAAATAGCCTTCTGCCCTGCAGTCCCTGTTATCTTTTCCGTACCACCGAAGTCAACAGTTGGTACTTAAATCAGACTGTGGAACCCCAGAAGTCTGGGGTGCTGTCTGTAAAGAAGGCTTATGCCCCTGCCCTGTGGACCTCACAGAGGGAGCTGTGGGTCCTGGAAGATGCTGCGGAGGCAGGTGAAGTGGCCAGCCATGGTGAGCCTGGTCCTGCCAGGCACAGAGAGCCTGGGGAGTCTGCCTGGGCATCCCATTGTAGGATGAGAAAACCCTTCCCTTAGAGAGGGATTGAGGAGCAGGGTGCAGCCGCCCAGCAGGGCTGGGGCACACAGAAGGCAGGCTGGTCATCAAAAAATACATTAGGGTTTGCTCATCCTTATCAGGACTGACCTTCAAAGCAGGCCCCTTGGAGGCCCACGTTGTTCCAGGAATTCTCCCACTGCCCAAAACATCTGTGGAATTCCTTCCCAAGAAGAGCCGTGTTTAGCTCTCCAAGGACACAAGGACCGTTATTTTGATTATTAGCTTGGCTGTTGCCCAAAAAATCAAATATGTCTTAAAATTCCTGACAGAAGATTTTCAAACGAACCTTGTACAAACAATACTAATATTGTGGAAGTTTTCCAAGAGCCATGCACAGTGGCTGCACCATCACGCTTATCTGGCCTCTCCAGTCTCTGAGGAAACAATCATCTGATCAGTCCTGCCTGGCTGGTAAACACTCTCGTCACGTCAGTGAGCAATTTCTGAGAAAGAAAAGGTCCTTAGGACCGTGCAGCTCGGTGTTTCTCTGTTCGGTCTGTGCCTCAGCTCACCTGGAGGTACCTTTTCAAAAACACAGGCGCCAGAGCCCTGCCCAGGACCTCCTGGAGCGTATTCTCTGTGACTAATGTATTAGTAATTCGCATGTTCCCCTAGAAGAGAACCACAAATCCAGCCCCCACCTCCTCTGATTATATGAAGGGAAGCTGAGGCCCAGAGAGAGTTGAAGACTTGTCCAAAGTCATAGAGCTAGAAAGTCATAAAGCCGAGACCAGCACGTAGTATAGCAGCTTCATTATATCACTTTGTCTCCTTTCCTGAATGTCATTATAGAAGAACAGTGAAAGCGACCATAAAATCAAGTACCTGGAAATGGGTTTCTAATCTCATGCTGCTGTGCCTTTCTTCTCCTTGCTTTGAGGCAGGGTCATTGAGGATGATAGATGAGATGCTTGGCCTTCAGAGTTTTTTGTCTCTAACTTCTTTGGTGGCTCAGCGGCAAGAACCTGGGCTTTGGACCAGACAGGCCTAAGTTTGAATCCTGCCTCTGCCATTCCCAAGCTATTGTGGGCAAGACACTTTCCCCTTGGAGATTCTCAGTTTCCTTATATCAAAATAGGAGTGGTAATGCCCACCCCTCACTGTTGTAGGAATTAGAGAATGGGAGAGCGTAGCAGAGTGGCTGGCATGGGGTCAGGTAAGAAGTAGGGGAGGTATCAATAAAAAAAATAATAGAACTCGTTGCTGTTGAGTGGATTCCGACTCATGGTGACCCTATGTGTTACAGAGTAGAACTGCTCCATAGGATTTTCTTGGCTATAATATTTACGGAAGCAGTTCACCAGGACTTTCTTCCACGCAGCCATTGGGCAAACGCCTTGAGCCACACAAGCTCCTGAGGTGTCTATTAGTTAATAATAAGTATGAGTTCTAAAAAGCAGATTCTTTGTAGGGGAAACTTGGTTGGTCTCATTATGATTCATCGGTAATTCTAATATGGTCTACAGAGATTCCTACCCTAGAGCAAACTTTAAAATGTGCTTTCCCATGATATGATGCCAGCTTCCTAACTGCCTCCTAAGTCGGACTAAAAATGTCCTGCAGTTATTACATGAGGGTAGTCATCATAACTAACCATTATTTAGCACTTCTTGCATGCCAAGCCATGTGGAAAGTGTGTTACAAACAATACCACATTTTATCTTAACAATAACACTGCGAGATAGCTCTTGTAATCCTTCCCATTTTACAGATGAGGAAACGAAGCTCAGAGAGGTTAAGTACCTTACCAATGATCACAGGGCTAGGAAATGTCGGGGCCAGGATGCAACTGTATGACTTCAGAGCCCAATCCTTCAGCTGCTGAGCCCTGCTGTCTTCTGTGGTGCTAAGCAGTGGGGGAGAGCAAAAATCCACAGCCGTCTGTTTTAAAATGCAAAAACTGGAAGAGCCTAGGCCATGCAGATCTGCCACTCACCCTGATCATTGTCCCAGCAGAGCTGGAGGACTCAAGAAGTGTGGGTGGCGGCCTGGCATTATCTTTAATAGACATCTCTATAGATGTCTTAGGAAACCCTGGTGGCGTAGTGGTTAAGTGCTACCGCTGCTAACCAAAACGTTGGCAGTTCGAATCCACCAGGCTTTCCTTGGAAACTCTATGGGGAAGTTCTACTCTGTCGCGTAGGGTCACTATGAGTCAGAATTGACTCAACGGCAGTGGGTTATAGATGTCTTATCTCTTGATAAAGATAGAAATCTCAAAGGAGCAGCTTTGTCCTAGGCACCACCTTGTCGGGAACTTGTTTATCAGATGTGGTCCTCAGCTACATCTAAGCTAAAATTTAACAGGCACAGACATCAAGGGCTATAATTGTCCAGCTGCACAAGCCCAGGACAGAGCCTCAGATTGCTGTCAGAGCAGGGAGGACAAGAAAGAAGGGGCAAGGTTGCCAAAACTGCCTCCAGTACCTGAAGCTACACATCAAGGAGGGACCAGCCTATTCTTCCCTCAGCAGCTTGGCCTCTGCAGGGAGCGGGGCAGGGCCATCCTCATCTGAGGGACCCAGCCAGGCAGAGGCAGCTGAGGCAGGGAATCTGGAGACTGCAGCCTGTGGATGTCTCACCCTGGAGACTAGCAGTCTCGGGACAGCACCTCCGTCGGCATGCACACATGCTGGGCTAGCTTGGAGAAGGCAGCTCAGACATGGCCTGAGAGGCCCCAGGTGGCAGAGCTGGGCCCAAGGGCGTAGGTTCAAGGGCGCCTGATTCCCTTGGAAATGAGGTTACTATCCCTAGAGGTACCCAGGCAGAGGAAGAGAAACTCCTAAGTAGGGGGATAGAGGTGGAGAATCAGACAGTGGAAGCTGAATCAGCTGACTTCTAAGTTCCTTTCCAACCCAAGCATCTAAAATTTCAACTCTCAATTCCTTATTTTCTGGATAGAGGGAGACTTGGGCCTTGCCTGTAGCCTCTGCCACTACAAGGACCATCTTTATCAGAGTTGAACACCCGCTTTCTCTTTGTGGGCCTCCTTCCCCATTCCAGCCTAGATTCATGATCATGACCTCTAGGCTGTGAGGCAGGGCAGGTGAGATGGACAGGTATGGCGTGAGGCTTTGAGCCCACCTGGAAGTAAGGAGGAAGAGGTGGGATGTGGGCTGCCCAAACACAGGAGGAGGTCAGAGAGATGCTGACTCACTCTTATTCTGTGGTCAAGTTGCCCTGTGGTCCTTGACCTCCTAAATCTGCTTCATCCCTCACCCAGGTAGCCTGTTTGTGTACTTTATCCTGAGTTAACATCTTAAGGCCAAGAAGAAATCCCTGATAGTGAAAGAATATGTCTTGTTCACCATTCTTTCCCCGGTGCCCAGCATATAGTCAGCCTCAGGGAGGGGATCAGTGAGTAGCTGAGCTGGGTTAGGAAGGGAGCCCAAAGGGGTTCTTAGGTTAACTGGGCCCCATGTACCTCTGAGTACTGGAAGGAGGCTAGGCCAGTTCTGCACGTCTGTCAGAAGAGGTGGTTCAAGTCTGTGTTTTCCAATCCTACATCATGGCTTGAATTCCTTTGAGAGAACTTTTGGCACCCATGATTCTCAAACTACCTCTGGGTAGCTCAGCCACAGACCCTCAGAGCCTGTCAGTGGAGGAGGGAGGAGAAAGCTACAGTATTTCGTGCTCAGGTCCGTGTCCTCCTCTGTCTGTGTGTGGGGCAGCATTCGGGAAAGAGTGTCATGAGGGCTTGGGCTTCCAGCCCCATCCCTTACCCTCTCAGAACCTCCAGGTCTTCACCTAGAAAGTAGGGGCTGTCATGAGTCCGAGCTCACGAGTTCAGATGTCAGGGGCCTCATCCCAGTTCCTCCTCAGGGGCCTGAGTTCTCTGACCTAATGACTCATGTTGTTGATTTGCATCCCTCCAGAGTCAACCGTCGACCTCATTGTTCCTCCCGTTGTGAGGCTGGAAAATGGTAGCTCAACCAGTGTCAGCATCGCCCTTCGGTAAGTACCCAGCCCGGCTCTGTCCTTGGCCCCACTCACACACCCCGTGGCTGAGCCAGGGCTGTCCCCAACTCACTCTAGTTCAAGTGTGTTGCCCTTTCCTCTTAACTATACAACAATCCATAGAAAGAGAGGTGCTAGCCCCAGGCTACAGGCCCGGGTCCCAAAGTCTATCTCCTGCCCCCCTGCTGAATCCTTGTTTCCAGCGGAAGGAGGAGGAAGGGGGGCTTCTCCTCTGAGACCTCAGCCTTTTCCCCAGGTGAGAAGAGCCCTTGAGTGACCAGCAGCTGATGCTAGGCTTCAGAGTGGGCCTTTCCAAGGCTTTAAATATTGGAGGAGAGCCCTGAAGGGCAGGGGCAAGGCGCTGAGCTGCTCACCAGCACATCAGAGGTTGCTTATGGAGCCAAAAGCAGAAATGACGGCACTCAGGGATCCTATTCATGCAGCCCTCATGCTTGGTCTCTGTCCAGAGAGTCTTTCTTGTTGACCTCTCTTGGTTCAGGCATGCGGGCCCCAACCTTGGCCAGACTGTGCCAGAGCGCCTGTCTTTTCCTTCTGTTTCCTTAGCTGCTTTGTCCTACTCTTGCCTCCCAGCCATGAGGATTCCCTAAGATGAAGATTGGGAGCCCTGTCCTTTTCTCTTTACCCCTCTCCTCTCTCCTCCCTCACCTCTGCTGGGACTGCAGGAGGGCTGATCTCACACCAAAACTTTGGTACCACACCTAACAGGCCAGTGATTCCATTGCTAGCTCCTGCCATCTGTGCATGTCAACACCTTGTAACTCTTACAAGTCATCCTCTAAGCCCAGATTTGAGGCCCCTGTGGGTTGCTCCCAGCCGGCATGTCTACCTTATCCAGTCAGACGCATCTCCCGGCTGTCTAGGGACATGTTGTTCTCTCATGCCCTATCTGGAAGGCCCCTGCCTCTGTCGGTCAAATTCTGACCTTCCCACAAATCCCCCCTCAGACCTGCCTACCTATGGACGCCTCATTTGGCATTCACGGTCAGTTCTCTATCTTCTTATGCTATTACCCTACCCTCCTGTGACATCTTGTCTCCTGATCAAGAAAGAAGTCCCCTAAGGAGCAGCGACTCCACCTCTCTACCCCTCAGGGTGACGCGTATAGCATTTCTTGACCCTGATGACAGAAGAAATGGCAGACCCGGCGTGAAATCCGAGGATTGGTTGAGATCTCAGTGTCCACCTTCTTATAAGTAATCAGACTCTTGTCCTCCACAGGCATCCGTTAAATGCAACTTTGGTGGTCACTTTCGAAATCACGTTTCGTTCCAAAAACATCACTATCCTTGAGCTCCCTGATGAAGTAAGTAGCAACTCTGACAGATGAGTAGGAAAACGCTGAGGAGTTAAATGCATTTGAATTGAGAACTTGTGAAAACAGGCCACCTTACTTTTAAACTGTGGACTGCCCCTGTTCCATCAGCCTAGAAATCTATGGTTTGGGCCTGTTGGCCTCTTTGGAGATGGCTATTTTATGCCTTCCCTGTGTAAATGCAATTGGGAAGACAATGGTAGGAAATTTGAGGCAAAATTGGTTCTAAGAATGTGGAAGAAATTTTTTAGATGCTTTTCTAAGACCTTGCTACTCAAGGGTGGTCGACCAGCCAGCAGTATTGGCCTTGCTTGAACACCTCTTAGATATGCAGAACCTCAGGCCCCACCCAAGACCTACTAATTCAAAATCTGCATGTTAGCAAGATCCCCAAATGATTTGGGTCCACATTGGAGTTTGAGAAGCACTGTTCTGAGACACCATTGGTTGGGGTCATTTCCAAAAATTAGTGCCAGAGGCTGTCTGGTATAGTAATGATAACTAGTCATAGCTTTTACGGATTTGTCTATTTACGTGTACCCTACTTCCATGTTCGAGTCCCTGACTGATGCAAACAGTTAACACGCTAGGTTGCAACTTTTGTGCAACTGAAAGGTTGGAGGTTTAAGTCCACCCAGAAGACCTTGGAAGAAAGGCCTGGCGATATACTTCTAAAAAATCAGCCATTGAAACCCCTATGAAGCACAGTTCTACTGTGGCACATACGGGGTCACGAGTTGGAATCAACATGGCTAGTTTTTACTTCCACGTTACCAGGGATTTGAGCCACTTACCATTCAACTGGATAAAAAACATAAATAGGGGAGCCACTGATGTAGAGACGCCTTATACAGAGAATAAGGATTTTAAAAAAAAAAAAAAAGATGAATCCAGGGATGAGGTTGATATCCATGAGGCACATCATCAGGCCTATGCACTTAAAGAGATACGCTGCAAATCAGCTCTGAGCTTTCTAGCAAGCAAACGATCCTGAAATGTGATCAGTCAGAAGAGTCTGAGAATCTGTGATCTTGAAAGCATTCAACATGGATCAAACTGGAAAACATTATGCTGAGTGAAATAAGTCAGGTACAAAAGGACAAAGGTTACATGATCCCACTTATATGAAATAGCTAGAATAGACAAATACGTAGAGACCAAAGTTCATTAGTAGTTACCAGGAGTCTTAGTTTTCTAGTGCTGCTCTAACAGAAATACAACAAGTGGATGGCTTTAACAAAGAGAAGTTTATTTCCTCACAGTAAAGTAGGCTAAAGTCCAAATTCAGAGCATCAGCTCCAGGGGAAGGCTTTCTCTCTCTGTCAGCCTTCTTATCAATCTTCCCCTGGATTAGGGGCATCTCCGCGCAGGGACCCCAGGTCCAAGCGACACGTTGTGCTCCCGGTACTGCTTTCTTGGTGGTATGAGGTCCCCCATTCTCTGCTTGCTTCCCTTTCCCTTCGTCTCTTGTAAGATAAAAGATGAC